CTCTTTTTGGATGTTGGAAAAAACTGAGAGGAAGCAAAAAATGTTCTTTTGCCATGTGTGTGACCTTGCTGTCCAGACAGGTTTCAAATCATCTGAAAATCACTTCTGTTGAGGAACATTAACACAACAAAATTTGATAAAAATAAAACAACACCCTCAGAATCCAGACTGAGGAAGAACCAGACTACTGACTGATACTTGAAGAAATAAACACCAAAACACTTAAAAAGTGGCAGGGACAGATAAAATGCCTTGAAGTCTCACAAATCCCCCTCCTTTCAGTTTTCTCTGAAGAACTTGAACATCTGCTCTCCCTGTTTTTACTCCCAGCTTTCTCATGCACTTGGAGAGGGTCTGACTGATACTTCAGGAAATAAACACCAAAACACTTAAAAAGTGGCAGGGACAGCTAAAATGCCCTGAAGTCTCACAAATCCCTCCCCTTTCAGTCCTTCTCTGAAGAAGCAGAACATCTGCTCTCCCTGTTTTTACTCCTCACTTTCTCAAGCACACCAAAACACTTAAAAAGTGGCAGGGACAGATAAAATGCCCTGAAGTCTCATAAATTCCTCTCCCTTCAGTCTCTCTTCTCTGAAGAACCAGAACATCTGCTTTCCCTGGTTTTACTCCCAGCTTCCTCAAGCACTTAGAGAAGGTGAACAGAACTTGCAGAAGCAGAGAGGCAGCGCTCTGTGACATCCCAGGAACAGGACACTCACCGCGCTGTTGGCAAAAGTCCCCACGTCTCTGGGCCAGGGGGAGGTCAGCAGTATATCCACACCCCTGAAGTTTGGGGCTGCCAGCAGAGAGGTTTTCAGCTCAGTCACATCCTTGGCGCTGAAGCAGTGCGCGGGCTCCGGCTGCTGCTGCGCCTCGGTGCCGCTCAGGTAGGCGATCTGCAGCCCCGAGCAGCCGCTGTACACACCCCTGCGGCCTGCAGGGACACACACACAGCCCTGAGAATGCCACAATCCCCTGGACAGGGCAGGGCAGGGCAGCAGTGCTGACTTGCTGTCACTGCAGCCACCCCCACGGGCAGCTCATCTGCTGTGCCCAGAGTGATGGCATCGCTCGGTGCCACAGCGCAAACCCGAGCCTGCCCACAGACAAAGCCCAGGGTTCCCCCTCCTCCCTGCCACCTTGCTTCCCAAAAACTCATCCACAGCAATCACACATCCAAGCCAAGTGCCTCTACTTTGTTATATTTTTGGCCTGGTGGCAATTCTGGAAAGAAATTGGTTTTTCCTTTTAGCTTTGCTACACTTCGCTTGTTACCTCTGCTACTGCAGTACAGCCACAAAGCAAAATCATATTCAAACCTTCCCTACAGAGACAGGCATGCTCTGGGAATAAGACAAGCATGCTCTGGGAATAAGACAGGCATGCTTCAAGAAGAATAAATAAGGGAATTGACTGAACAAATAATTTCTGAAATAAAGAAAATTGAGAAAAAAATAGAAAGGTTAAGAGTTTTGGAGTAGAAGAGCCTGGAATAAAATTGAATGAATATTTGAGTCAAGGAGAAGATGGCTCAACTAAAGGAAAAGCAGGAGTGGAAGGACAATATTACACCAGATGATTTCTTACACATAGGTAAATGCAAGAAATTTAGAATAACTTCTCATAAACCAAAGGTAATAAATACAAATTTATTATTACAGAAAAGGTTTGGAGTCACTGCTGATTTGCTGAGCTGTGAATTTAGAAAATGAACAATTTGTAAGAAAAATATATCCTTATTTAAAAGTAGTATTACATTTAGAAATCTATCAAGTTAGATAAATAAAAAAATAGTTCAAGTAGTTTTAACAGAAGAATAAAAATGTAAAAAATTTCAAAACATTCTCTTTAATTTTTTTTATTTGACCAACAAACATAAGTGTCTTTTAGTTGTACAACATTATTTCTAAGAACTTAAATGCAGGAAGATAAAGCAAGGGACAAACCCTGATAATTGTGCACTTTTTCATGAAATTGAACACATTTCTATTTCAAAAGAATAATTGAAAATTATTCAAAAGAAGTGCTTTCTAATAATTCAAAGGACTGTTGTAACATCCCACTCTTGCAACCTCTATTCCTTCTGTTCAGCAAGTTCAGTATCAGAGGAGTGGAAAAAAAAAAAAATCAAGAAAGCAGGGGTTTCTTTTTACAGAGATTGTACCAGTCTGAACCACAGGATAAAAAATGCCACTGACAACTCCCAGCAAAAGGAAGGTGTTAAAGTGAGAAGATGAGAGAAGGTTCATGAGAGGCCCAGCAGGCACAGGCTGACCCCAAATGCCCTGCAGCCTTACCCAGGTAAGTGATGTTCTCTGCTAACTCACAGCCACTGACGTCTGGGAAGTAGCTCAGGGTGTCTGGGTTGTTGGCACCGAGCACGTAGGTTGGGATTGGAGCTGAGGGAGAAAACCTCGTGCAATCAGTGAGCTTTAATTCCAGCACCCAGCCCACACTGCCCAGGAATCACAGCAGGGAACCCCACCCAGTCAGACCTTCCACCACCCTCTGGGGGCAGCAGCACAAGAAACCTTCCTGTAGTGAAGCTGGAGCTCCCACAGCTGCAGCAGGGGAACAACCCCTGCTCCACCCACATCGCCCTCCCCAGCCTGTGGAAAATTAACCCCAAAGTGATGCACAGCCCTAAAGGCAGGGGTGTTCCACCCAGACCCATCTCTCCCTCCTGTACAGCTGGAGTACAGCTGCTTTAACACCACAGTGCCCAGCCCCCGGGCAGTGACACACACACACTGACACTGCCCTCCTCCCTTACCTTTCTTGGCCCCCGTGCGGTACTCGGCCCATTCTGCCTCGGAAGTAGAGCCAAAGAAATTCCCAACACACAAAAGCATCTAAAACCAGCAGATAAAGCAGGAGTTGCCATTTCACCTCAGACAGAACACACACAAAGGCTTTGCCTGCACCACTTCAGCAGCATTTGGTTTGCTGAAGTGAAGAGATTCTTCTGTGTTTATCTGTGTTAAACTCAACATCGACAGGTTTAAAAGGGCAGCCAGCTGCTCTCCCGCCTTCTGTGAGCAGATCACGGCTCCTCCCAATCGTTTGGTGCTGGACAGGGAGGGCTGGGGGGCTGCAAACCCTTTCTCACACCGAGCAGAAAGAGGAGTGTGGCTGCCACGGAGGGACGGGACACCAACACCCACCCAAGCATCGCCGGCACGGGCACCCCACCCGGGCTGGCTCCGGCCTCAGCCGTGCCGGGACGGGAACGGAACCCCGCGGGAACGGCACCACGTCCACCTTCCCCCACCCAAGCCCCCACGAGCCTTACATCGAAGCGGCCGCTCTTGGCCTGGATGGCGCGGACCCGCCCGAAGATCGCCTCCAGCCGCCCCTCCACGTCGCCACACGCCAGCCTGCGGGACACTGCACGGTAAGAGCGGCCGACATGGTCCGGTCCAGCCCCGGCCCCACCACCACCTCATCCCGTGCCCCGCCCCGTTCTCATCCCATCCCCTCCCGTCCCACTCACACGCGCAGCGGGGCCGCCGCCATCACGAAGACGCTGGACCCGAACCTCCCGCCACTTCCGGGTGCGCCGCTCAAAGCGCTCCGCCACTTCCGGGTGCGCCGCTCAAAGCGCTCCGCCGGTTACCGGGTGGGCGGCGCCCGAAGCCTGACACACCGAGCTGGAATCGCCGGGAAATTTAAATCCCGGTGTCCGCAGGGAATCGCGGATATTCTCAATGCGTGGTGTCTTCAGCCTGGTGTGTTAGTGCTCCAGTCAGTGCTGGCACTAAACGTGGAAAACCCGTGAAGAAGTAGAAGAGGTGATCGGGTAAGAGAGCGGTCGTTGTCTCAGAAGTGACTGAAATAATCCCTGCAGGTGATTATTTACACTGATAAATTATAATAATGTTAATTATATGTGTTAATACTATATTTCGATATGTACTTATAATAAATGCATTTATATAAAATACTATATTTAGATATGTATTTGTAATTATTACGCTGAGCTGTACCAAAATAAGAACTTCATCAGGCTGTAAACAACAGCCAAGCTCTCCTGTTTTTGACACTTTTTATAATACTTTATTATAATAATGCTTTATAAATAAGCGATATCTTACAAATAGCTTTTATAGGGGATTTCTAAATTAAATGTTTATATATTTTTATTAAGATTTTACAATATTACCACCTGAATTCTGTAAATCTAAGTTGCTGCTGTTGGGGTTTGTTCCTTCTGTGGTATTGCGACTTGAACCGTTCCACGTTTCAACAACAAGCACGAGAAATGTAAAGCAATAAGTTTTATTTTCTGCATCTCACCTGGCCTGAAAGAACCACAAAAGAATCATGGAATGGTTTGGGTGGGAAGGGACCTTAAAGCCCACCCAGTTCCACCCCCTTCCACTGTCCCAGGCTGCTCCAAGCCCCGAAGTCCAACCTGGCCTTGGGCACTTCCAGGGATCCAGAGGCAGCCACAGCTTCTCTGGGCACCCTGTGCCAGGGCCTGCCCACTCCCAAAAGCCAGCAGAGCCTGTTGTTTACCGGCGGGATGTGGGAAGCCGAGGAGGATAAAATCATAAAATTAATTTTTTACCGACGGTAACTGGGCCAAAGCGCTCGCGGCAGTCGCGGGCAGGAGGCCGCGCTCTGCGGCAGCTCCAGCGCGTCATGGAGGCAGCGAGGCCCCCCCAACGCGCCCTGAGGGGCCGGGGTGCGCCCCGCTCCTGCCTCACGGTCCCACAGACCCCAGCAGGTCATGGACGCTACCCAACAAAGACCTCCCCGCCATCCCAAGCTCTCTAAGGGGCGCAGAGACCGGGGCCGCCGCTCAGCCGCCACCGCCCCTCAGCAGGGCCGCCGCTCGGGCTCCGTCCACCATGGCCGGCCCCCTGCCTCCGCTCAGCGGTGCCTTCCCTCAGCCTCCCCTCAACATGGCCGGTCCCTCGCCTCCCCTCAGCAGCAGCGGCACCGGCACCGTCACCGCCTCCCCTCAGCGGCCCCTCCCCTCAGCCTGCCCTCATCATGGCCGCCCCCCCGCCTTCCCTCAGCATCGGCACCGCCCCTCAGCTTCACCCGCGGGTTCTTCCCGCCCGGCGCAGCCGCGGAGCAGCAGCCCGGGCGCGGAGCGGGCGGGAAGGACGGTGGGGCGTTGGTCGCGGTGCCGGCGGGGCGGGATGGCGCTGTCGCAGCAGTGCGAGGCGGCGTTCGGTACCGCGGACCTGTACGGTGTGCTAGGCGTGCGGCGCGGCGCGTCCGAACAGGACATCCGCCGCGGCTACCACCGAGCCTCGCTGCGCCTGCACCCCGACCGCGTCCCGGCCGAGCAGAAGGAGGAGGCCACACGCCGCTTCCAGGTGAGGAGATCCCGGGGGAGAAAGGGAAGGAGAGACAGAGGGAGGGAGAGGAGCGGTGGCGGCCACGGGTGAGACCGACCCTCCACTCCAGAAGGGACTGGCGCCCTGATCCGCTGTCCCCCAAGTGACTGAACCCCGGGCAACCGACCCTGACTGTCCACTGACTGGCCCCGACCCGAGTGCTCACCCCAGTGCTCCCTGGGTGCCTGACCCCCAAGTGACCGCTCCCCGGGTGACCTCGCGGCCACTCCCGTGTCCCGCAGATCCTGGGCAAGGTGTACGCCGTGCTGAGCGATGAGAAGCAGCGCGCAGTGTACGATGAGACGGGCATGGTGGATGAGGAGGCCGAGGCGCTGCAGGACGGGCGGGACTGGCTGGAGTACTGGCAGCTGCTGTTCAAGGTAAGAGCGGGATCGGGCTGGGAGACACCTCCCCTTTTTGTTTTTATGTGTTTTATCCTGGTGAGTAAGTCCTGTAAGTCACAAAGCATCGCCTCTTTGCTCCAGGTCACCGTGAAAGACATCGAAGAGTTCAAGAGTAGCTACAAAAACTCGGAGGAAGAGCTGGCTGATGTGAAGGCAGCGTACATGACTTTCAAGGGTGACATGGATCGGATCATGGAGTCTGTGCTGTGCGTGGACTACACAGATGAGCCCAGGATACGGGAGATGATCGAGCGAGCCATCGACTCCGGGGAGGTGCCATCCTACAAGGCTTTTGTAAAGGAGTCAAAGCAGAAGATGATGTCCAGAAGAAAGCGGGTAGGTTGCAGCAATTACTTACCATAACCTTGGCAGAAATAAGTAACTCTGTTCCCAAGATGTTTGTCACAGGATTTCTGCATTACACCCCTTACTGTTCACATCTGATCACCCGTGGTCATCACCCCCCCAACCCAAACCACTGTGAAAGGCTTTTCTACTTCTTTATTTCCTTATTATACATAATGGCTTATTACAGTTTAGCATGTCCCTGCATTTATCTACAAAGCTGGGAGTTGCTGGAGTTAACAAAAACAAGCAAGTGGTGAAAACACATTTTGGTTGGCTCTGGCCTAAATGGACTCCTGTATGCTTTTGAACACTTTGTAGAATGTTATTTGCAAATCACAGCAACCTTTAAGTTATTGTAGTATCTACCAAAACAACGACAACAACAAAAAAAAAAGGGTGTGGGAATAGGGTTGGGGACAAACATCACATGCAACACTGTGAAAGAGCAGGAAAGCTTCCTGCTCTGCTAAATGGTGGAACCAGAATGGGCTTCCCTTGCCTGATTCCTTATGTGTGGCCAAACTTGGAAACCCTTTGCACTCCCCTGCTGCTATTTGTACACAGATGCCCAAAAAGCGTTTGGTAAGTCCTGTAAGACTTGGTCAGATAACATGCAAAACACTTCTTTAAAAACCCTTATTTGCTCTTTTAGGCAGAAAAAGAAGCTAAAGAGGCAAAAAAGACTATAGATGAGCTGGGCCTAAGTGGAGAAAATGACTTGCAAGCGCTGATTAAAGTAAGGCTTCTTCAGTTTCTTGCAGATAATTTTGTTACTGGCTTATAATTGTGTTTTCCCTGAGCGTCTTTGATTTTGGATCCTTGCATATCTTCTGGATTCCTGAGGTTAAAACCTGGCCTTAATGTTAACTATGTGCTTTAATTTAATTAGAATCAGAGTACAGTATGGATTTTATTACCTGTGTCTATTTTAAAATTTCCAAGAGTTAAATATTTGGAGTACTTATGGAATAACTTCTACTTTTAGGCGGTTTCACAAGAGAGTTTTAATGATGATACTAAACTTCCTGTAGCTTGTCTTTAATGTGTTTGATGCAGTTCAAGATTTTGTGTAGCTATCAAATGTCAATAGGATAAGCAGTTTGGGAAGTTCCAAAAGGTTTGAGTGTGGTTGGTTTTCTTTCCCCCTCCCCAGCACCGAAGCAAAGAACGAGAAAAGGAAATGGATAACTTCTTTGCCCATCTGGAAGCAAAGTATGGCAACACTGCTAAGAAAGGAGGAAAGAAGACCTCAGGCAAGAAAAGAAAGGCAGAAGGAACAGCGTAGACTGAAATACCAGGTTTCACTTTGTGTGGAAACGTGGATTTGGGAGAATTTTGGGTGTTTTCTGGGCCCCAGTTTCAGACTGTGTGCATTGACTGGCTCTAAGTGGGAGGCATGACATGGAATCCATGCTGAACAAGGAAGTCAAGGCATTCCTGTGCTACTGTCTCCAACCCTTTGGGTGCTCTACAGCTGAGATCCACGTGTGCTGTTCACACATTTCTTCTGTAACAAACCTCCTGCTATTCTTAAAGGTCTTTGCACATCAGCTCAACAGGTCTTTTTCAGATATTCCAGTAGTTTTTATAAAGATAGTTTGGAAAATTGCTGATTTAATAAACTAGAAGGTGGGTTTTTTTCAGAGTTTTGCTTTCTCACTTCTCTGTATGTTTTCTAAATAAGTTATTTAAAACAAGCCAATTGTGCTGATTCTTCTGATTTCAGTCAAATAAATCCTGCACACTTCCAGGGAGGATCATTTTTCAAAGGCATAGGAGGAGTCTCAAGGTGAACACTTGGAGAGCTGAAGGCTCTCACAGCTTCAGCAGCAGCTCCTGGGGGAAGCCAGAGGAAGATGGTCTCTCTGTTCCCTTTTACTTGTCTGCTCTGAAAAATAACCCTGATTCTGAGAAAGTAGAGCATATCATTGTGGTTTATAACACAGGGCTTGGAAGGTTACTTTTATTACACAGAATAAATAAATAACAGTCCAGGAGCAGTCCCTGGTGTCAGCCATATGTACAAAAAACAAAAATGGCCTTAGGAGGCCACTGCATTTTTTAAACCCACTGAGTCCTCTAGGCTGTAAAGCACTACATCATATTTACAGAAGTCTATTCAAGTTTATTTGTCTGCTTTTGTAACTCTTGTGCTACAGAAAACTCCCTCGGTCCCTGAGGAATGGCACGGATAAAAATGGGATTTTATCTGCACTTTGCCTGACATAACTGACACACTGCACTGTGTTCCAGAAGAGAAATTGTATTTTTGTATTTTGAAGTGGTTTAGTGAGTAGAGGTCTGTGGGGAGCATCAGCTTCTCTCTCTGATGACTTAAAATTGAGCTCAGAGCTGCTTTTTTTTTTTTTTTTAACTTCTGGAAATGCAAAGGCAGGTTAACCCAGTTATATTTGCACAGTTCTCTGTTTTTGATTAAAGCATGTTTGGATCAACTGGACTCATGAGCTTCAGTATGGATGAAAAATTATTGGCTGGTCTGGAGTGGGGAAATAGGGGAGCCACGTCATAAAGAATACTAACAAGGTTTTTTTTCTCTCTTTTGAACTGTAATTTGAAGAATAATAAGAAAATACAGGAAAACAGTGCTCTTTAATTGGACTAGAAAGGAACAACTTTTTGTGGAGAGTCCTAACTTCATTTAAATACAGCCAGTGGTTACCTCAGCTTGTTTTTACATTTCAGTCTGACACTTACTGTTTGGGAGTAAGACCTTCAATTAATCACTTATTTTGAGAAGCCTGTACTTCATGGTTTCATTTGCCTTATCTGGAGCCACAAGGCCAACTCCAGCAAATGCCTCTGCTAGCTCTGTCACACAGGGCAGACACAGCTCCTAAAAGCTCCATTGCATCAGTGGCTTCTGGAGCTCTACCTTGGAGTGAAGAAATCTTGTGTAATTATAGGTATTTTTACAAAGGGACACTGAGCTGTTCTGTGAAATTACTATAAAATGTCTCACCAGGAAGATTTTATTTTGAGTACAGTCTGAAACTACTTGTAGTAAGAAGTTTCTTTTTGCCTGTTCAACCTTCTTCAGTCACTGAGGAACAGGTAAAAGGTTTTATTATAACTCAGGAAGAGGCAGTGATGTGCTGCCCTTGGAGCTGCCAGGTCACCTGCTCTGCTGCCTTGGTTCTACACACCTGTGTTCATATCTGCTGCAGCTACCACAGCATTCATCACTTGCCTAAGCTGAGTGCTTGCTTTTGCTAGTACAATATTGCTTTAAACATATTGAATCATATAAATACACTTTTTATAAAATGTAAATCACTATGGCTGTGGAAGGCTGGGTTAACCTTCCTAAGGGAAAAATGAGCAGGTCCTGCAGTACCTGTAAGGACATGAACCTGTCACCAGCCTCATGGAAAACAGCACAAGCACAGACTGAGAGTGTTTGCTGGGTTTCCTAGGAGTTGGGCTTCACTGGAATGTAGTCACCCTTCCACTGGAGCATCACTTTCTCTACTGGTAGGAAATGGAATGTTTAAGTGCACCCCTTCTATCTTTGGCAGCTGCTGCTTAGATTTATATAAAAATATCTATCTGTAAGGAAGGGTGTTTGAAAACTCTGTGTAAACAACGTTGACCTTGCTGGGAAAGAGAGGTGGTTCATGACTCTCTGGAGAGGGATGGATGGGTGGATGCTCCTCCATGGCACATCAGTGCCTCTGTTTGCTCTTTGTGCCTGATCCACTTCGGCCGTGGGCTTTCACAGAGCCACGTGATGGAAGACCTGACAAACAAGAGATCATGGACAGCCTCAAGACTTTGAGAAGGAATTCCAGCTAAGTATCAAATACATCTCCTCTAGCCTGAAACTAAAATCTCTTTTTAGTCTAACACATGGCTACCAACTGCATTATTTATAACTTTCAAAAAGGGCAAAGCTTGTGTTTGCCGAGTTGCTGCATTGCAGGGAGTGCCTGCATTCCTTGATATTTCACTAAGTATTCGTGTCTACAAAGCTTTTCTGCTAATTTCAATTGGTTTTGTGAATACAGCAGTCATAAAACTCATCTTGCTTTTTTTGCTTTTTTTTTGGGGGGGGGGGGTGTGAGGGGACAGATAATTATTTATTACAGTAGGAACCACTCCTTGCTTGTTTACAAACAAGTTACTTCAGTTTTAGTGCCTTTGTTAACCTCAAGTTACTATTTCTGTTTAAGCTGACAACTGCTTTGAAAACTTGGACACTGAGAGGTGCTGGGGCTGATGACACTAAGATTCCTTACTTGATTTAAATATTTGGTGGTAAGAAAAACAAAAAAGCCCAACAAAATGCACTCAACTGTACTCTGGAGTAGAGTAGGACATAGCAAGCATAACATCTGTATAATGGCAAATTAAAGACATGGATGGAACTCTGAAAAAGTGTAAATTACCTGTAGGAATGTACCCCTGTAGGAAATGCATCCCTGTCCCAAAAACCTCCTTTGTTTGCTCTTACTAAACCCTGTGACTGATGGGCATACCTGAACTTGTGGATCCTTTCCTTGTCCAGGATTGATTACTGTAATCAATAACAGTGCAAGAACGGCGGCGCTGGGAATGGGGCTGGAAAAACAGCTCAAGTTATTTCTGTTTGCATGAAAAAAAATCAGCAAGATTATAGTACAACTAAAAACTGCTTAAACACTTGTATTTGGTAATGAGTTAGATGTTGTGAAGGTCTAAGGAAAGTTTTAAAGAAAGGTCAAATCAACTTTAGAAGCAGAAAATACACTTTTCTAACACTTCTTTAGAATGATCACTGTGCCAGTTAGAGGTAGTCTTTCCAATTCAGGATATTGCACTGTTCCAAAGCTGATTTTATAACTGCTGAGTCCAGGACGTTGAAATTATACACAGAAACCAATCAAGCAGCTATTTAAAAGCTGTGCTGAAATGACAGCTTTCAAAGCTTAAATAAAAACAAGTTGTTAGATACAAGAAGGTACTAGTAGAGTAGGAGTTCCAATAAATTAAACTGAGAGTATTTGATACTGAAACAGACTGGAAATGGATTGATATTAATTCTCAAAGCACCCTTTTCAGTAATTAAGGATGATCTGGTGTAATTAGCCATGCTTTACCGAGGATGTGCTGGTTGTGCTGGGCCTGGAGAAGGGATCAGGTAAGAACAGCTGCTCCTGGAGCTGCTGGGGAGTGTCTTCTTGTGTCGTGACACTGTGAGCACGGCTCGAGTTCCCTCGAGGTTTCTGCAAGGACAGAAACAGAGTTATGGCTTTTTCTTACTGCAGCAGTTCATTAAAAATAATTAACCCAGGAATTAAAGCTAATTTTCAAATTGAATTACTTTATACCTAGTTATGAGGAGGGAAACATTGAATTTGCATTAGAACTAAGCGGGTAAGCATGGGTGATGCTGTTGCTCAAAACTGTTACAACATTTTTCCATTTGATCATCTTTTGACCTTCTGTCACGAAACAAGAAATAAATTGGAACTCTTGGGCTGGGTAATTTGACCAGCAGTGATAACAACTTTAGATTACCCAGTAATAAAATGAGATTCTTGTGCCTGTTACCGTTTGCCTGTGAGATCCTGTGGTGCTCCCACGCTCTGCCACCGTGGTGGTGGCAATGGGTGGCAGGGGGTGATTTCTGTTCAGCAGCAGTGGGGAGGGTGAGGTCAGCTGCTCCTGTGCAGTCAGGCTGGAATGCACCAGTAAGAACAGAAAAAACACACAGTTAATGTGTTAGGCAGGTGGAAAGGTGCAATGTTGTCAAGTTTCTTTGGCCTTCTGGAGTTGACTGTTCTGTAACAATACCTTGGAAAAGCTTCAAACCATCTAAAAAAGACTTTCCTAGTGCTCTCTACTTACATTTTAAAATATATTTTGTCCTGGATTGTCAAGCAAATTGTATTCTATTTGCCATCTGTATGGCAGTTGTTTTCTGTTCAGTGGGCAGCTTTTCTTTATGTCTTCTACAACCAATCCTCCCTCAGGAGGGGACATTTGCTGATAAGAGGCCATTGAACGTCATTGCCTGGCTGATAAGAGCTACAGCATCCATTGGGAGATGTGAGCCCAGAGGGAGGAGCCAAGCATTCCTACCCAGATATAATCTGAGATTCTGGAGCACCAGCACAGCTTCTCCACTGGATTCTCACAGGAACAGCAGCTGCCTCTTCCCCTGGATCTTCAGAGGAAGACTACACCTTTTTCTATGGGATCCCTGTTCCAACAGAACCAACCTGACACTGCAGGAGGGCTGCAGCCACAATTCCAATGGGACTGCTACCAACACCCTGACTGTCAGTGTTGTTTTGGTTTACTGCATTGTTAATTTTATCTTTTTATTCCCTCTTAAAGAACTTTTATTTCCTGCTCCCGTATTTTTTACCTGAGAGACTCTTAATTTAAAATTCATAGCAATTCAGAGGGGGGGGGGTGTTACATTTTCCATTTCAGGGGAGGCTCCTGCCCTCCTTAGCAGAAACCTGTCTTTCCAAACCTAGACACATTTTAATAAAGGAGAGATGTCAATATTTCTTACATTGACTGAAGCCTGAGGAAAAGGAACAGAAACACAAAATACTGGAAGGAGAAACACCAGTTATGAAGGGACAAGGAATAAGTCTCTCAAGAGTATGTGACAAGAAGTCAACCAACTGGATGAATTTATAGATAAACAACAAAACTAGAAGTAAACTACATCAATTTAGAACATGTGAAATAGGTCTATCAAATCCTACATTGTTTCCTCATACCCTGTGGTCCCTGTAAATGACTCCATTCAGTCAGGTCATTGTGCAAAATAAAAGAAAGATATTCTAGATGTGACTGAGGGCTCACTAAGAGCCCTTTGGTCAGTCAGATAACCTATTTGAACATCTTTATAGTCCAGTCTGGGTTAGGATAACAATATGCAGTATGACCTCCAAAAACTGCAGAATTTTAAATTCATCTTGAAAATAGTTGGCAGAAAGAGACAGCCATGTCAAGGAAGAGATGCTGGCATTCAATTTGCTTGCAGAGGACAGACTGAGATCTATTGCTCACATGCAAAACTACCTGAATATGGGAATGTGTGTGATTCACTGAATCACAGCTGGCAGCACACTGAACATCAGCTTTGAGGACTCAGCTTTCTCAGGGCAGTTGTGCCCTGAGTTTAAGGGGCAGCTCCTCTCCCTGCCAGGGCTGCTCTCTGAGCCTGGTGCTGTTTTGGGGACCTACAGGCGCCTGCAGACATCGTCCCCGGAGCGCGGGGTCCCGATGGGATGCAGGGTCCGTGGGGGAGGGTTCCTCCTCCTGGTGCAGCGGGACAGGGACGAGGTGCTGAGCTCCAGGGGACGGTTTGGCCACGCCCGGGTAGAGAGGAGGGAGCTCGAACCTGGCCGTTTGTCATCCAGCTCCCTAACAACAACAACAACAACAACAAAATTACAAGACCAAAAGACACATAGTCAGCTGTAGCCATGATATTCTCTGAAAAATCCCTTTGCCAGGATTTTTTTCTCCTGAAAAGCTGAGAGGCCTCAAGAACAAAATGTAAACAATAACTATCTGCTGCTGTGGAATGCAACAGGTGCATCTTTGATTGGTCTCATGTGGTTGTCTTTAATTAATGCCCAATCACAGTCCAGCTGTCTTGGAGTTGTTGGTCAGTCACAAGATTTTGTTATCATTCCACTTCTTTCCTTTCAAGCCTCCTGATGAAATCCTTTCTTCTATTCTTTTAGTTTAGTTTTAATATATCATTAACTTTTAATATAATATATATAATAAAATAATAAATCAGCCTTCTGAAACATGGAGTCAAGATTCTCCTCTCTTCCCATGTTAGGATTGCCTGCAAAATTCCACAATCAGCATGACAACAGCTGTTAGCAAAGTGCTCACCTACAGGTGACTTTAATCATAAAATATGTGGGCAGAAATTATGTGTGTTGATTCTTAATGTAACTTGTGGTAATCACATATGCTCTGAACAGACAGAGACATAGCTCTCCCAGGATTTTCCTGAGAAGCTGTGAGAAAGCTCAGAGAAAAGAATGAGAAACAATTCTTATCTTCACTTGCTGCACCTGTTGTTGTGCAGATGTGGAACGTGTTATGGAGATTTGTTTACCAAAGGGTAATTGAGCACTAGTGATGATGTTTGGATTCATTGACCAATTAGATCTGTTTGTACCAAACTGTCTGAAAAGGATGATAAGTTTCTTACTAATATAGTATAATATGGTATAATATAGTATAATAAAGCAATTAATCAGCCTTCTACAATCATGGAGTCATAGCTCATTATTCCCCAATCAGGGCCTCACTACTATGACAGTAACTATATCAATTTTCACAGAGGACAAATAAACAAATAACCAAGCAGGAAAATAACTAATAACTAACTGCTTTCTCTGACAGAGGAATTGATCTTACAAAGTTTTGGGTTGAATCCCTCTCACTGAGAGAGTGCTCTACTTTATTTACTACAGGAGATCTGTAGCTCTTACAGTGTTTTCTCCACTACAGGCAGGTTCCTTTGGTGTAACTGGATCCCATGGATCACCATCAAGCCATTCAGGTTACGCTGAGAACTACTACTTGACCCTTGAGAGAGACTTACCTGAAATTAAAACAAAATAAGGAAATTACTGTTTGGCAGAGACACACACACACAAATATTTATAGACTTTGTATATCACTTTGGAGAAAAGTCATTAATTTCTTCCATGACATCCAGATATATACTCAGTTATATTATTTCCCCAGCTAGGGGATCTCAGCATTTAATTTTTTTGGAATGATAGTGCTTAGAAAATGTCCTAATAATCTCTTCCAACTGAGCAGCTCATTTGCTGATCTTCCAACAATGACTATAATCAGAAGCTTTACGAAAATAATTTTCAGCGTATATTGACATTTTATGTCAAGAACAGATCTGCAAAGTCCTCTTCTGAGATACAGACTGATGTGAGAAAAAAACCCCATCATATTCCACCCACCATAAGAAGAGCAAGTAGAAAATAGCAGAGCTTTAATCCCATACATACTTGAGGTGTTTTTCTCCTCTTTTTGCTTTTGCGGCCACCTCTGGGTTTTGGGCACTACACACACAATAAGGGGGACACAAGGGATAGGCAGGGGCAAGAAATAAAGGATAAAGAAATAAAAAGAAATAAGAAGGAAAGAGCTGAATTAAAATGGAATAAACAGGTAACACCTTGGTGCTCACCACTCTAGATGCAAATCATCTAAAGTAGATCATACAGTTAAATTCAGTGTCTGAGGGAAAAAAACTGGTTTAGAACTGCAGAAATTTCTCCCTTCTTGCTGGATGAATTAACTATTATTGTGAGAATGGGATCCCACACACACACTCCTCAATCTCACCATTTAATTGAAATATTAAACTGTGGAAAGAACTACATCCTGAATCAACAGCCACCACATGGCTGTCACACACTGACATAAAATACTGTTTCAAGGAGGAAAGTAGAGATTAAAACATCCAACTGACTAACAACAGGACTAAAGTGTCAGAAAGGACAGGCAGCGTTCACACAAAGTCCAAACCAGTTATTGACCTAAACAGAACCACTCTGTCTGCTGAGGTAACACTGTGATTCACCCCACACAAAACAACAGCTGGTTAAAAATCCTTACCAGGTTTGATGCCACTGAGGGCATCTTTGTGTGTGGCACCCGGGGTAACAGTGCTGGCAGAGGATCCAACTGCAAAGGGCTTCTGGCATCTGCTCGGAGCGTTTCCACTGCTATGATATTTTTCTCATCATCTGTGCAAAGCAACAGAATTTCTGTCAATATTGGCATTGCTAGTCATTGCCAGTGCTATGAATCTTTTTTTTTTTTAGAGAGAGAGTCCCCTTGGATGATAAGCTCTGCTAAGTTTTTTGAAGATGTGTTTCACACTGTTAGCAGAATAACCTTTTTATTCCCACTGAAGAGATCATTCCCAAATATATCACTTAGCAAAATTAGCTGAAATCCCCTTTTGAGCCACTCACCTTCACTGTAAATCCTTACCAGAGGCTGACCCTTCCCAATGCCTGCAGATCAATTCTTCCATGCAGACCAGGACTTCACTCCACACATCATCAAACACAAAGGTGAGCACAGAATCCTTCATGCAGGAATAGGGAGAGACAGGAGGAAACCCCAATTTCCGTCTGCCAGAGGACAGTCCCATTTTCCTCTCGTGCAACTCCTCCTCCCTGTAAAAATATAAGTATTACCTGCACCAGAAACTATATTTACTTTTAGTTTTCCCACTGACCTCAGTGAGAAATGACTGACCCACCCTGGTCTCACTATACAGAATGATTATAAATCATATTCCATGAACAATAATTTACCCATGAGATCAAATTCACAGCAAAAAAATCAGAATTATTTGTTACAGTGAAATTTCTTCATCACATTGTTAGGCTCTATATCTAATGTCAGGACAGAATCCTGAAGACAAAACAGTGATATTTTTTGCTGCAGCAATGCCTCTCTAATCTGGTAAAACCAAGAAACATAACAATTTTAATTTAATGGTCCATGCAGATAAGTGGCTTTAATTATTAAAACCAATTAAGTAGTCAGGAACTGACAGCACCCTCCAGAGTCCTTACCCAGGTCATATGTTCATACTGTAAGGCTGAATAATGTAAAGGGGTAAAAAGATAAATATAGTGGTAATTGTTTCTTGACAAGCATAAAATCCACTCTAGTTCTTAAAATTACCATTGAAAAAAATCCAAAAAGGTACAATTCTACCCAAAACAGAAGCAGCACACTGCTGTTGCATAACAGCAGTGAATTTGACATAGTGTAAAAACTAAATGGTGTTAAAACATGTATTATTAAATACACAGGCTCTTAGTTAGGATGGAATTAATTATTCAAACCAAGCCCAAAAATGGACAGTGTGAAAAATGATCAAAAACTTCCTAAACTTAATTTAGTGAAAGAAATTGTCGTAGGAAATAGGTTGGGAAAATTCCCAGTGCCCAGGCAACCTCAGGCCTTTGAGAGCTCTGTAGAGAAAAGATAAATCAATCAATTAATCAAGTATGTGTATCTTAACTGCAGGAACCCCAGGACAGTATTTTAATCTTCAATACCTACACATCTCTGTGGTCAAATGCCAAGTATTCCTCCACTATGCCTTCAGAGAGAATGACTTCCTCTTCCCCTTCACCTCTCTCTGAGGAACACAAGGTGGGAGGCTTGGAAGGGTTGGCCTTTTTGTGAGCAGGAGCAACAAAAAGAGGCACCTTCTTGCCCAAAACACTCAATCTGGACAGGTGACAGTTTTCAGAAAGCAGAAAGAAAGATAAGTTGTTATTCCACTTCAAATAACTGAGAGACAAGTATGGTTGTTAAGGGCAAGCAGTAGAGAGGCAAAAAAAACTATTTATTAAAGTAACAACTTCTGGTTTGGATACCTTTTAATTCTTGCTAAGGAATCTGAAATTTTAGGGAAAAAATATCCAAAGCTGATTAGAAATCATTCTGAAACATTAAATAATAAAAGCAGCACTAACATTGCTTTGTATTTTTTAAAGTCTAGGCAAATCCAACAGATGATTATTAATAAAACCAGCTACAGTACATGCATATTCTTGAGAAATCAGCAGCAGCAAAGATATTTCTATTTACTGGCCAGTTCACTATAGTCAGCAAAAGCACAGCTATGTGTTCTTGCTATTCCAAGTGTACTAAATTCAGTTAAAAAAGGGGGGAAAAAAGAAAAAAAGAAAAAGAGTGCGCTGTGTTCAAAACTCAGCCTAACAGGAAGGCTGCACTCTCTAAGAAGCAGAGAACAAATCTTCCTTCCCACCTTGGCATGATCCAGGCTCACTGCTGGTACTTACTCATCAGAATCCTTTTCCTGTGGTGAACTTACATTGGAGGGAGCCAAACTGCCTGAGGGGGAGCTGGAGTACCATCCATACCCTTCATCTGTGGGGGCCACCACCTGCTTCCCCACCACCCTGCCACGGCAAAAGCAAAGGAGAAACACAGCAGAAAACCTTGGCAGTGCACTTATTGAAGGGTCTAAGAACAGCAGCAAATCCTAAAAGTTCTCCTGAGAAGCTGTGCAGTTTTCCTGGTGACACCTTCACTTTTCTAAGAAAATTCTGCTCTGTTAGTGCCAAGTCAGTCACAGATGGCAACAAAGCTCTGTCAAGGCACCACGTGTGAGGTAAAAGGATGTTTATTAATGACAGGCAGGCACATCACCAGAGTGATCTTTTTATCTCTAGCTACTGCATAGCTGCATAAACCCACCCTGCCCCGCTTTAAAAGCAACTGTGGGCCTTGTTGGGAAGGTAGCAGCATCAGCCCTTTAATAAAATACCTGAGATGAGGAAAGCTGGAGGACCACTGGTGGCATTCTTCCCTCAGTCCCTCAACATGAATGGTCTCTTTCTGCTCATACAGAAGCTCATCAATTTGTCTGAACATCTGCTGAACTTGTTGTGTGGCAGCTTTGTCAAATTCCTGGAGAGGAAAGAAAATACCTAGTGAATAACATTTGCACGGGTTTTTAAATTGATCTTTTGAAATATAACTGGAAAACACAACTATTTGTTTAGAGCTTAGCAGGACTGCAGAAAAAGATTTTAACTTTAAATTATTTTCTCCCAGAGATGATGCAGCCAGCTCTTAAGATGGATGGCAGCCACATAAAAAGATTACATTGACAAAGCAGAAAAAACTATTAAAACATTTAGAAATATTATTATATTAAGCTACAAGACTTAAAGGAATCAAAACAGGAAGGATAAAATTCAGTAATATTTTAATGCAATGGAGGATTTGTTGTTTCCAGTGTCCACAAACAGCAGCAACACAAAAAGCAATGCAGGCTGGTGGGAAGCACTGAATCTGAGAGATGGTCAGGCCCTTTGTTACATATGATAGAAAACAGGGCCAGTTCTGGGATCATTTAAAAATAAACAGCTCCATCTCACCTCCCAGAAGGCAACAGCACACTAGGCTTTGGTGGAAGGAGCATAAACCAAACATTTCAAAATGAAAATAATGTTTTAGGGGCTTCCCATATTTTGAGAAACATGCAAGGATGCAGAAGTTTGATAAACTCACAGCAAGTATCTGAAAGTCATCCAGCCATGGCTGGGGCTCCACAATAACAGCATTTATAGATACACTTGGGCACTAAATTACTTGCTTTTCCAAAATTTTTAATGGAAATGCAGAATATTAACAGAATAGTATGAGCCTAATGTGTTTTGAACAGAAAGATGGAAAGCAGTAAAAAAGATGTTCTTTCTTTAATCAGCACCATGATTTTTTGACAGATCCAATCATTTTTGTTCTGAGATGTCTTTGCAGTGGTATCTCAAGTGTCTTTCTGTGCTCCATTTGGCTTGGATGATGATGTTCTACTCACATCATAGCCCCAAGAGAAGACCGAGCTGTCTTCTGTGGAGGTGTCAGCACAACCCTGACTCGCAGTCCATGCATCCCCATGATCATCCGATCCCTTCCGGATCACTGACTCCCTGAAATGCCCATGTCGAGCCAAAAACAAAAATAAAGAGAAAGCAAATCAGCCCACAATGAACAATGTCAGATGGAGTGTGTCAGTAAACAAAGCCTGGCTGTGCCAGAACAGCTGGATCAGATGTGTCAGGACAAGTACCTGGAGCTCTGGGCTCGGTTTTCAGCCGTGGGTGTGGCTGAGCACACCTGAGCCCGTGGCTCTGGCGGTGGGTGATGCCTCAGGGCATGTTTGGGGAGTCCTCGTCTGGAGAAACAGAAGTGGAACTTGGCATAACTTACAAGAATAAACATTTACAGAGTTCCCAATAAGTTTTATAGGTTTTTCGTTCCTGCTTCTCAAGGACTGTCCACACATTTATTACTATTACAAAGCTAATTCTTGCCGCCAAAGCTCGAGGTTTAAGGTGTCAAAACTTACTCTAGGATAAACATGGAGTTAAAGGTCTTGGCTACAAAATCAGTTAAACTTAAACCTAAGATGCTGCGAATTGAGGTACAGCTTCCTAAAAGCAGAGATGACGCCATTATCCCTGTAGATTAATTACATTGAATGAAATGAAATACAACAAGAGTAAACGAGCCGAGTAAGTCAGAACTGACCCAACTCTTGGGTCAGGGGATAAGAGCCAGTTACAGGGATTTAATCGCGCTCTGTCCCACCGGTGTCCGGCCGGAACCGGTGCTCAGGAATCCCGGGAATGCCGGGAAACATCTCCCGTCGGGGACAGGGGGTGACCGGGCCGTCATGGGGCCCTGCTCGGTGCTGGGGGCAGCGCGGGCGGCAGGCCCAGGAGCGGGGCCGGGGGGATCGCGACCGGGACCGTGCAGGGGCTCGGAGCCGCGCGGGGCACCGAGGGAGCGGCGGCCACTCACGGCTGCACCGGTTTCCGCGCGTATCGCGATATCATCCTCAGCGCCGCCGCCCCGCCGCCGCCATCGCGCCGCTCCTCCCCGGGGGCGGAGCGCTTTGGGTCCCGGCGCGATGGAGGCGCTGCGGCGGCCGGCGCTGCCCGAGGACGCGGTGCGCTACCGCCTGTTCGCGGCGGCGGGCCCGGGCGGTGAGGCGCTGCTGCGGCGCTGCGCTGAGCTGGCCCTGGTGCGCTTCGCCCCGCTCCTGGCCTCCTACGTGTGGCAGCGGCAGCCGTTCCGCCTGCGCTACGTGCCGGGCCGCGGTGAGCCGGGAGCGGGCCGGGAGGCACGGCGGGAGGAGCGGCCGGAGCGGGGGGACTGGCAGGGGGACACGGCGGCCGGGAACCGGGAGCGTGTGAGGGGGAAGCGGCGGCCGGGACCCGAGGGCGTGTGAGGGGGGACCGGGGGGTGTGAGGGGAACCCGGCGGCCGGACTCGAGGAGCGTCTGAGAGGGAACCGGCGGGGGATCATTTAAAGGGGATCCGGCGGCCGGGAACCGGGATCGTGTGAGGGGGGACCAGGAGAGGGTGAGGGACACCTGGCGGCCGGGAACCGGGATCTTTTGAGGGTAATCCGGCGGCCGGGAACCGGCAGCGTGTGAGGGGGAGCTGGGCCGTGTGAGGATGCCCCGGTGGCCGGGAACCGAGGGCGTCTGAGGGGGAATTGGGGGGGGGGGCGTGGTGTGAGGGGAACCCGGCGGTCGGAAACCAGGAGCGTTTGAGGGGGATCCGGCGGCCGGGAACCGGGAAAGTGTGAGGGGCACCCGGCGGCCGGGAGCCGGGAGAGTGTGAGTGGGGACCGGGAGAGTGTGAGGGGCACCCGGCGGCCGGGAGCCGGCAATGGGTGAGGGGGAACTGGGCCGTGTGAGGAGGACCCGGGGGCGGGGGTGTGAGGGGAACCTGGTGGCCTGAAACCAGGAGCGTCTGAGGGGGATCCGACAGCGTGTGAGGGGGACCCGGCGGGCTCGAACCGGGAGCGTGTGAGGGGGACCGAGAGCGTGTGAGGGGGAGCCGGCGGCTTCCCAGCCTCTCGGTGTCACAGCACGGGGTAACCCAGTGAGGCATCTGGTGCCCCCTCCCTGCTGCAGCAGGGCCATGGCCGAGCACAGGACACAAGATTCTGTCAGCAGGGTCTGGGATATCCGCAGTGAGGGAGACTCCGCAGCCTGTGTGGACAATCTGTTCCTGGCATGGCGTTGCTGAGCCGCCTCTCCTCTCTCTGCCCCGTGCAGGCGAGATCCCGGCGCACTTGGGCGGCACCACGGTGTTCGGGGATAACGTGGAGGATGAGTGGTTCATTGTGTACCTGCTCCGGGAGATCACCAGGGAGTTCCCGGGGCTGGCAGCCAGGTAAGGCGGGTGCTGCTGAGCTGCTTTTGTGCGAAGGCTGCCGAGGGGCAGTGCCTGTGCTCTGAAGGTCCTGTCTTACCATTGCCCATCCTTGGAGGTGTTTCCCCATCCCATACACCTTGGAAGTGTCCAAGGGCAGGTGGGATGGGGCTTGGAGCAGCCTGGGCTAGTGGAAAGTGTGCCTGGCTGAGGCAAGGGTGTTGGAACCAGGTACTGATCTTTAAGGTCCCTTCTAACCTAAGCCTTTCTATGGGTTTATGAAGATTTAAAAAAAATCCCAGCAGACATGGATTCAGAAGTGTGTTGTTGTGCTCTGCAAGGCTTTTCCTGCTAAATTTCTAATTTCTCCTTGGCCAGTATTGATGACAACGATGGAGAGTTTCTCTTGATAGAAGCTGCTGATTTTCTGCCCAAGTGGCTGAATCCTGAGAACAGTGAAAACAGGGTGAGTAAAGCTTGTGTACAGTTGGCAAGGGGGAGCCAGTGGCCTTTCATGTAGCAGCTGGAGTTTTCTCTTGTACTTCTTGCCAAGTGGTGTGGCTGCCTCTGAAAATCCAGAGTGCTGTCTGTCCCTGACTGTTGCTCCCTTCAGGAGCACTCCTGAATCCACCTGAACTTTCCAGCTCTGCTAGAACCACTTGCACTTTTTTGTTTTTTACCATGTTGTGGAGTGTTTAGGGCAGAGGATTTGCTGCCCTCAGAGTAGGGAATGCTCAGGGCTGGAGTGTTGCTGTCTCTGTAAGGACACAGGCTTTGTCTGGTCCAGGTGAAATAATGAGCAGACACCTGCACCTGGATATGGATGGTTGCTAATGGCAGTGGATTAAAATGGAGAGCCTTAATTTGGTCATTAGCAAAAATATTGTTCAATTATTTTTCCCCTACTCCAAGATTGTTAAAAGGGCTGGGACACAACACCCAAAAGGATTGCAAGTGTGTACCTGGAGTGTCAGGCTCATACTTTCCTTTTGTTTGAGGGGACAGAGTGAGGGAGTTGAGAACGTTGCATTCAGGGCTTTTCTTAGGATCAGGAACCAGCAGAGGTCGCATGTGGCAGCTGAAATGCTGCTGCTTTTTAATGCCTGTGGTGCTCTGAAGCAGTCAGGCTATCCTGGTTCTCCTGAAGCACTTCTCTAGTCGAAGAGAAACGTGTAACAATTACTGTTGTTAAGGAAACAAGGTGTATTTGATGATATTTGTTGCAGTTAAAATAGGGATTTTTCCTGGTTGGGTCGTGGTCTCTGGCATCTCAAATAAGCTTTTTAGAAAAGCTGTGCTGCTTCCTGCATTGGTGCTCTATTTGTCCTTTAGACTGTCAGTGTTCAACCCGATGCATTTGGATATGAAATGAAATGTTCCATGGCTGTGTGTGTGTGTGTGAGTGCTCTTGCCCTGTGTGATGAGAGCCTTCCTGCCTGCCAGGTGTTCTTTTACAAAGGAGAGCTGCACATCATTCCTCCGGGGGAGCCTGGGGAGCAGGGCTGGGCCCTCTCTGCTCCCTGTCCCACGGTGCCCCAGGCGCTGGCTCTGTTATCCACGCGCCCCGAGGAGCTCCTGGCTGCAGAGCCCATCAGAGCCGCGCTGAATAAACGCATCCATGGGTACGTGGGGCTGCGTTTGGGTCCTCTGCAGCTCTGGGCTTTGGTTCTGTGTCCCTGGGCTTTAAACGTTTCCCCAGCAGATGGGATCAAGTTGATTCCTTTTCAGAAACCAGCAGCTGGAGGTTTTTCTTGGAAAGAGGGGGATCAGTGTCCTGTAGGCTGTGGTCTGGGGATCTCAAACTGGTTCACTGCTGTAACTCCAGCCCTGACAATGACAAAAGTTACTCTTCCTTCACATCCTTCTTAGACTGAAAGATCTGAAAGTTCTGTGATCTTTTAGGAGCCCTGTGCACGAGGAAAAAGAGGATTTGATCTAAAATGTAGAACCAGCACAATTGCCAGGGCTTCAGCTTGTCACAGCTGTGCTCAGCCCTGTGCTTTAGTTTTTGCAAGGATTTGACAGCAAATATGGCAAAGAATACTGGATAGCTGGGTCTGTTGGTTAAGTCCACAGGGACTCATCTTACCCACGTGGGGGATTGAATTTTATGAGCCGTGTACATTTATATAAGTATGTATGATAGAAACAGCCATTCTAGGCATTAGATTGGCCAAGTTTTAACTCCAGAATAATCTTCTAACCCACGATCCCAGTAAATACTGAAGGGAAAGGGGCCTCGTGCTAAAGAAGGAGTGGTTAACTCGCAGTCCCTCCCTTCGCTCTGTTGCCGTTCAGGTATCCCGAGAAGATCCAGGCCTCGCTGCACCGAGCCCGCTGCTTCCTCCCGGCCGGGATCGCGGCCGTGCTGAGGCTGCGCCCGTCCCTGGTGGCTGCGGCCGTCCAGGCCTTCTACCTGCGGGAGCCGGGCGATCTGGCGGCCTGCCGGCGCCCTTTCAGAACCTTCCCTGCCGAGCAGCGAGTGATGGCCCTGGTAAGTGCTCTCAGAGCCCCTGCTGGCCGGGCTGTGTGCTCCTCTAAAGCCTGCGATGGCCGCGGTGAGTGCTCTCCTCAAGCCTGGTCACTTCATTCCCTTAAATGACAAGGGTTCTGCGGCCAGTGTAGAAACACAGAGATTCAACTGAAAAATACGAGTTAGAGGGATGAATTTCCAGGTCATTCCATTAATAACTGCTCTGGATCGATGTGGCTGGACTTTCAGGGGGCTGCTCATGAGAGAATTGTTTCTGAAAGCAGAGGTTGTGATAACAGTTCTTCTGCTGAAGCGCCTGCTGAGTAAATCGATCTCCTTGTGTGATCAGAGCAGTTTGACAGCCCTGCCAGCCAACAGGAGGAGTTGCTCTTCACCAGTGGTTCACTCCCAGGCTTTTCACCTTCTCAGCTGTGCTCTCAGGGCTCTGGGAAAGCTTTTATGAAGTGTTTTATGAGCACTGTCCAAGCACTGTTGTATCTGATTCACTTTGTTACAGAGCTGTACCACAGGACTCCTGAAAATAAGCTTTAGAGTCAAATTGTGGACTTGGAAACTGTTGCTGAAATCTTTTAAACAAGTGTCATTTTAATTGAAAATACACCTTGTAAATGTGAATACAAAATACTGAGGATTTTTCCTTATGTATTTAGACTGACAAAAGTTCGTATTTACTTGGGTATTTCAAATTGGGACAAACTTTGTAAAGCCTGCAAAGCAATTTCTCAGAAAAATCTGTCTAGGATATATTTAGAATGCAGTCTCAGGTACTGCCTGTACTGGGGGTGCCTTCAAAGCCACTCTGGTGAGCCTGGAGGGAGTTGGATGGCTGTCCCCAGCAGAGTCCCGCTGCAGGGAGTGTTTGTTTCTGCTCTGCCTGTTTCAGGTGACTTTCACTCGGTGTCTGTATGCACAGCTGGTGCAGCAGCAGTTTGTTCCCGACAGACGCAGTGGGTACACCCTGCCCGCCCCATCTCATCCTCAGTACAGAGCCTACGAGCTGGGCATGAAGCTGGTAATGATTTCTGCTGCATTTTGGACTTGCTTCATGCATGTCCAGGGAATGGGTCCTTGTCTGGGCATTGCCTGCTTGTGCAGGAAAATGTGAGCAAAGTCTATCACACCTTGGGAACCTCTTGTTGTTGCATCTTTTATCTGCAGGCTCATGGCTTTGAAATGT